GGGCACTATTCCTCCCACTGACACCAATGATGGGGCACTATTCCTCCCACTGACACCAATGGGGGCAATATTCCTCCCACTGACACCAATGATGGGGCACTATTCCTCCCACTGATACCAATGATGGGGCACTATTCCTCCCACTGACACCAATGATGGGGCACTATTCCTCCCACTGACACCAATGATGGGGCACTATTCCTCCCACTGACACCAATGATGGGGCACTATTCCTCCCACTGACACCAACAATGGGGCAATATTGCTTCCACTAACACAAATAATTGGGATTATTCCTCCCACTGACACCAATAATTGAGGATTATTTCTCCAACTGACACCAATGATGGGGCACTATTCATTCCACTGACACCAATGATGGGGAACTATTCCTCCTACTGACACCAATAATTGGGGATTACCTCTCCCACTGACACCAACAATGGAGCACTATTCCTCCCACTGAAACCAATGAATGGGATCATTCCTCCCACTGACACCAATGATGGGGCACTATTCCACCCACTGAAACCAATGACTTGGGATCATTCCTCCCACTGACACCAATGATGAGGCACTATTCCTTTCACTGACACCAATGACTTGGGATCATTCCTCCCACTGACACTAAGGATGGGGCACTGTTCCTTCCAATGACACCAACGAATGGGTCACTATTTCCCACTGACACCAAGGATGAGGCACTATTCCTCCCACTGACACCAAGGATGAGGCACTATTCCTCCCACTGACACCAAGGATGAGGCACTATTCCTCCCACTGACACCAAGGATGTGGCACTATTCCTCCCACTGACACCAAGGAAGTCCAACCCTTCTAAAGTCTGAAGGACAGTAAGTGATCCTTTTCGTCAAGACAGGGTGGAGACCCCTGGCCTAGACGAATGGGGATCATCACCACCCAGAGTAGAGCACTTGACTTCTGAAGGCACCCCCCCCCCCCCCATGCATGCTTGAAGGAAAGCCCATCCTCTCCATCTGCCCTCTGGCATCATGAGTTCTGATCCATATTGACTCCGCCCTGAATTGGGACAGAGCAGCTAAGAAAGGGTTCCGTAAAGCTTCAGGCCCATACGTGACGTGAAGGTTCACCTTCATGTTTGAGGTGGTCAGAGAGGGCTGGAATGCCTTCAGAGGATGGATTTACCTGTCTCGATCCATCGTGTCGGCACAGGCTCTTGAAGTATTCGCGGTTTTGCAAATATCAGTTGCCGCAGCGGCAGTCGCCCGCAGGAGCGTTCTAGAAACGGCTACGTGTGAAGGCCCTACAGGAAGTCAGAGCCGCGCTAGGCGACCAGAAATTTGTATGTAGACCTTTGGTGAAGGCTCGTGTCCATCAATTGTGTTTATGCATTGGGCAGAGGACTGCAGATACCCCCTTTTTTCCCCCCTCCCCCACCACCCGGGGGGGGGGGGCTCCTCTCTGGAGAAGGATAGGGATCAGCAGCTGAAAAGGACCTCCCCCACACGTTAGGTCCTCGTAGACTTTCTGTAGAACATTCCAGAAACTGCTATCACAGAGGCTGCTAACGTGAGATGGAGGTGACGGGTCTTTTGTATGGTTGCCCCTGGCGGCCATGTTGGCTTGGCGTGTAGCTGGGCCCAGGTGTCTTCCTGGCAGCCTGGAATCGGAGGTGCGTGATGCTTGCAGCGGGGCTGTTTGCACAGGCCGATAAGCAGGTGCCAGAGAAAAGGGGGTCTTATCTCCGTTCCTGGACGAGATTCAGCTCCCGGCTGGGGCAAAGTTGATGAAATATTCATGAGGCAGAGATGGAACGCGGCCAGAGGTGAGGCGGTGATGGAAGAACCTGCCAAGCGGCAACTGGTGATTAGGAATGAGAGGGCCCATTTCACACGCGGCTAATCAGCAAGACAGCCACCGGCTTACGAACGCCAGAACTTTTACGGGGAGGATGGAAACGCACTTAGAATCCCTCCGTGGAAAAAAAAAAAAAGTGGAACGGATAACTTGAGATGTACGGAAGAGTCCCATAATTCTTCATTTGCTGCCTCCATTTAGCTCACTTTGGTCTACACCACGAGCCAACCTACCTATAGGTGCAACCTATCCATACCCCGGACAGCCATGCCTGCCCCAGGTCCCTGCGGACGCTGTTGTCTTCTACAGACTCGATTGTCTATTGAGCCATCCTTCAACATCTTCATCCATGCAAAGGGATACCTAAAGGTCATTCCAAGAACTTCTCCTTCGAGACTGACCACAGTACAACCCCAGTAATGCCCATTACAAAAACCTCTATGACCCCAGTGATGTCCACCACAAGAACCTCTATGACCCCAGTGATGTCCACCACAAGAACCTCTATGACCCCAGTGATGTCCACCACAAGAACCTCTATGACCCCAGTGATGCCCACCACAAGAACCTCTATGACCCCAGTGATGCCCACCACAAGAACCTCTATGACCCCAGTGATGTCCACCACAAGAACCTCTATGACCCCAGTGATGTCCACCACAAGTACCTCTATGACCCCAGTGATGTCCACCACAAGTACCTCTATGACCCCAGTGATGCCCACCACAAGTACCTCTATGACCCCAGTGATGCCCACCACAAGTACCTCTATGACCCCAGTGATGCCCACCACAAGTACTTCTACACCTCCAGTGATGTCCACCACAAGTACCTTTACAACCTCAGTGATATCCACCACAAGTACTTCTACACCCCCAGTGATGTCCACCACAAGAACCTCCACGACCCCAGTGATGTCCACCACAAGTACCTCTACACCCTCAGTGATGCCCACCACAAGTACCTCTACACCCTCAGTGATGCCCACCACAAGTACCTTTACACCCCCAGTGATGCCCACCACAAGTACCTTTACACCCCCAGTGATGTCCACCACAAGTACCTTTACGACCTCCGTGATGTCCACCACAAGTACCTCTATGACCTCAGTGATGCCCACCACAAGTATCTCTATGACCTCTGTGACTCCCACCACAGGGACCTGTACAACCCCGGTAATGCCCACTACAAGAACCAGTAAGACCCCAGTGATGTCCACCACAAGAACCTCTACGACCCCAGTGATGCCCACCACAAGAACCTCTACTCCCCCAGTGATGCCCACCACAAGTACCTCTACGACCCCAGTGATGCCCACCACAAGAACTATGACCCCAGGTATACCCACCACAAGCACCTCTACGATCCCCGTGATGTCCACCACAAGTACCTCTACGACCCCAGTGATGTCCACCACAAGTACCTCTACGACCCCAGTGATGTCCACCACAAGTACCTCTACGACCCCAGTGATGTCCACCACAAGTACCTCTACGACCCCAGTGATGTCCACCACAAGTACCTCTACGACCCCAGTGATGTCCACCACAAGTACCTCTACGACCCCCGTGATGCCCACCACAAGTACCACTATGACCCAATAATGCCCGCCACAAGTACCTCTACGACCCCAGTGATGCCCACCACAAGACCCTCTACGACCCCTGTGATGCCCACCACAAGAACCTCTACGCCCCCAGTAATGTCCACCACAAGACCCTCTACGACCCCAGTGATGCCCACCACAAGACCCTCTACGACCCCAGTGATGCCCACCACAAGACCCTCTACGACCTCAGTGATGTCCACCACAAGAACCTCTACGACACCAGTGATGCCCACCACAAGACCCTCTACGACCCCAGTGATGTCCACCACAAATACCTCTACGACCTCAGTGATGTCCACCACAAGTACCTCTACGACCCCAGTGATGCCCACCACAAGAACTCTACGACCCCATTGATGTACCCACCACAAGACCCTCTACGACCCAGTGATGCCCACCACAAGAACTATGACCCCATTTATACCCACCACAAGTGCCCAACCTCTACGACACCAGTGATGCCCACCACAAGAACCTCTACGACCCCAGTGATGTACCCACCACAAGACCTCTACGACCCCAGAACCTCTACGAGTGATGCCCACCACAAGACCCTCTACGACCCCAGTGAGTGATGCCCACCACAAGACCCCTCTACGCACAAATACCCAGTGATGCCCACCACAAGAACCTCTACCAGTGATGTCCACCACTACCCTCTACGCCCCCAGTGATGCCCACCACAAGAACCTATGACCCCATTTATACCCACCACAAGAACCTCTACGACCCCAGTGATGCCCACCACAAGCAGCAGAGGGCCCGGGATTTGATATCTCTAGCATAGCGGACAAGAACCTCTACGCCCCAGTGATGACCCCAAAGCTCCGGGGTAGCACGAGGCATCACACAAAACAGGAAGCAGATAATCGCTTTGATCTCACAATCATAAAATTGAAAAGCCGTGTTTTTTTTTTTCTCGCACAGAGATCAATGTACTTCCCCCTCCCCCCAGCAAAGCATTCATCTGATTTTCTCTCCAGCAGGACGGCGCCATCTTTGTTCAGGCCTCATCCAGGGACATCTACTTCCTGTCAGCTCAGAGATGACACAATCATGCCACTTCTGGGGTCCGTGCGCTATTCCAGGACAGGGTCATCCAGCGCCCAGAGCAAGGTTGCAGAATTGTGCCCCCTTTCCTCACTTTTGGGGTGCCACCCTGCATCTATCCTTTGCCCCCTTACTGCTCTGTGCCCAAGGCAACCGCCCCTCCTGCCCACCCCCTGTCCTGGCCCTGTCTGTGCGGTTCTTGGCTGTGTTCACAAATGTCTGACACAGACCAGCCCCTGCTGCAGCCTCTCACCTTGTGACTTGATACAATGCTGCAGTTTGAACACCTGGGGGGGGGGGACTGAGGAAATGCCTCCTCCTACAAAGTTACAATGTACAGCCTGATCACTGGGGGGGAGACTGAGGAAATGCCTCCTCCTACAAAGTTACAATGTACAGTCTGATCACTGGGGGAGGGGAGACTGAGGAAATGCTTCCTCCTTCTACAAAGTTACAATGTACAGTCTGATCACTGGGGGAGGGGAGACTGAGGAAATGCTTCCTCCTCCTTCTACAAAGTTACAATGTACAGTCTGATCGCTGGGGGAGGAGAACTGAAGATTATGTCAATTGTTCCTCTGGGTCTTAAAACTTTCTAGGGCAAGTTTACCATCCTACAGACTTTAGGGGGGTCAGACCATGGGCAGTGGGAGTAAGAAATGTCCTGGCATCAATAGGAGGAGTAAAAATGTCCCATCATTGGTGTCAGTGGGAGGAATAGTGTCCCATCATTGGTATCAGTGGGAGGAATAGTGCCCATCATCATTGTGGTGTCAGTGGGAGGAATAGTGCCCCGTCGTTGGTGTCAGTGGGGGAGGAATAGTGCCCGTCGTTGGTGTCAGTGGGAGGAATAGTGTCCCATCATTGGTATCAGTGGGAGGAATAGTGCCCCATCATTGGTGTCAGTGGGAGGAATAGTGTCCCATCATTGGTGTCAGTGGGAGGAATAGTGTCCCATCATTGGTGTCAGTGGGAGGAATAGTGCCCCATCATTGGTGTCAGTGGGAGGAATAGTGTCCCATCATTGGTGTCAGTGGGAGGAATAGTGTCCCATCATTGGTGTCAGTGGGGGGGGAATAGTGCCCCATCATTGGTGTCAGTGGGAGGAATAGTGACCCATCATTGGAATCAGTGGGAGGAATAGTGTCCCATCATTGGTGTCAATGAAGGAATAGTGCCCCATCATTGGTGTCAGTGGGAGGAATAGTGCCGTCGTTGGTGTCAGTGGGAGGAATAGTGCCGCGTCATTGGTGTCAGTGGGAGGAATAGTGTCGTTGGTGTCAGTGGGAGGAATAGTGCCCCATCGTTGGTGTCAGTGGGAGGAATAGTTTCCTGTCGTTGGTGTCAGTGGGAGGAATAGTGTCCCATTGTTGGTGTCAGTGGGAGGAATAGTGCCCCATCATTGGTGTCAGTGGGAGGAATAGTGCCCCATTGTTGGTGTCAGTGGGAGGAATGGTGCCCCGTCGTTGGGGTCAGTGGGAGGAATGGTGCCCCATCGTTGGTGTCAGTAGGAGGAATGGTGCCCCGTCGTTGGGGTCAGTGGGAGGAATGGTGCCCCGTCGTTGGGGTCAGTGGGAGTAATGGTGCCCCGTCATTGGTGTCAGCGGGAGGAATAGTGCCCCACGGTTGGTGTCAGTACAGGAATTGCCCCAGTGTTGGTGTCAGCGGGAGGGATAGTGCCCCATCGTTGGTGTCAATGGGCGGAATAGCGCCCCATCGTTGGTGTCAGTGGGCGGAATAGTGCCCCAGTGTTGGTGTCAGCGGGAGGGATAGTGCCTTGTTATCAGTTGGAGCCAAGGTTCCCCAAGTGCCAGCAAATTTGGCTCCCGGGCCTCAGTTTGGAGACCACTACTGTGGGGTGAAAAGGTTCAAGACTGCTCTGGGGACTACTGTGAATTTTGTCACTCTACCTTTGACATAAAGTTTTATAGGGTACAATCGTTCGGCGGCACCTCCCCCTCTATACACAGACAGACCTAAAACGATCGGAATTGTCTGGAAATTCCTGAGACCCCGAAGAGACATCTATAAACCAGGATCTGAGAACGTCTCTGACTAGAACTCCTTCCACGTCGGCGCAGATCCATCACCGTCCCGAAGGACGCGTAATGCTCCTCTTGGAAGATGTCCACCCAGGGGTCTCGGACACCTTGAAGCTTCATCAAGGCCCCTGATTAGCCGTCGCCAGGGTGACCGCGGTAGAGTGCGGGAATTAATGGACTCGGAATGGAGGAGGACAAGTCTGTTTTCCTGTAAGGCCCCAATAATGGAAACCTTCCTGAGTGCTCCGGCTATAAAAAGAAAATAATTAGACAATCCAGAGCTGCTAATGAGATCAGCCGCAGCCGGCCCACTCCAGATCTACAAAGAGCTGCGCGAGGCTTCTTCCTCTTGTCAATGATTCCGCCTTTCTCTGGGAGGTTTCAGGAAGGCTTCAGCGTTCTGTGACAAAGAGCCACCATAGCTGGGGAGATGTCTCACCATGAGAGATGCCAACCCGCCTGAAGAACATCGGTGACCTGCATGGTGTCTCCTCGCTGTGGACTCTTTGTTCCTTTTTTTCTCTTTTTAGAAAAGAGAACGACTAATTGCATGGACTTTCTGACATGCTGGAAAATCTGTGATGTGAATCATTCCGAGGCTCACAAGTGCTTAAAAAGGGAACTTCACCCCCCTCCTAGCTATTGTGCATCATTGTCCTCAATTTAGTTACTCGCCTGCCCGGAAAATCCAGCGTTGTCCTGCTGCAATCCGCAGCTCAGATGCCTTAGCCCAGGTCCTAGGCTGCCATCTTGATCCACCTCCGTCATCGGCTACTTCTTCTGGGCTTAGGTAGACAATTGCCCATACTGATGGCCTCTGTGAGTTCCTGTTCCTGCAGCCTCTTGCCTGACCTGATCAGAGGGACCAGAGAGCTAAAGTCCACCTCAGTCATTAGCTACTTCTTCTGGGCTTAGGTAGACAATTGCCCATACTGATGGCCTCTGCCTCTGTGAGTTCCTGTTCCTGCAGCCTCTTGCCTGACCTGGTCAGAGGGACCAGAGAGCTAAAGTCCACCTCAGTCATTAGCTACTTCTTCTGGGCTTAGGTAGACAATTGCCCATACTGATGGCCTCTGTGAGTTCCTGTTCCTGCAGCCTCTTGCCTGACCTGATCAGAGGGACCAGAGAGCTAAAGTCCACCTCAGTCATTAGCTACTTCTTCTGGGCTTAGGTAGACAATTGCCCATACTGATGGCCTCTTTGAGTTCCTGCTCCCTCAACGGTCCTTCAAGTAGCCCAAACGGTCCTTCAAGTAGACCCGTACAGTCGGCTTACAAGACAACTCACATTGACTGTTCTGCAGCGCTCCGCAGCTCAGATGCCTTAGCCCCGGTCCTGAGCTGCCATCTTGATCCACCTCCGTCATCGGCTACTTCTTCTGGGCTTAGGTAGACAATTGCCCATGACTGATGGCCCTCTGTGAGTTCCTGCTCCCTCAAATGGTCCTTCAAGTAGCCCACCCGTACAGTCGGCTTACAAGACAACTCACATTGACTGTTCTGCAGCGTTCCGCAGCTCAGATGCCTTAGCCCCGGTCCTGGGCTGCCATCTTGATCCACCTCCGTCATCAGCTACTTCTTCTGGGCTTAGGTAGACAATTGCCCATACTGATGGCCTCTGCTGTGAGTTCCTGTTCCTGCAGCCTCTTGCCTGACCTGGTCAGAGGGACCAGAGAGCTAAAGTCCACCTCAGTCATTAGCTACTTCTTCTGGGCTTAGGTAGACAATTGCCCATACTGATGGCCTCTTTGAGTTCCTGCTCCCTCAAACGGTCCTTCAAGTAGCCCACCCGTACAGTCGGCTTACAAGACAACACACATTGACTGTTCTGCAGCGTTCCGCAGCTCAGATGCCTTAGCCCCGGTCCTGGGCTGCCATCTTGATCCACCTCCGTCATCAGCTACTTCTTCTGGGCTTAGGTAGACAATTGCCCATACTGATGGCCTCTGCTCCCTCAAATGGTCCTTCAAGTAGCCCACCCGTACAGTCGGCTTACAAGACAACACACATTGACTGTTCTGCAGCGTTCCGCAGCTCAGATGCCTTAGCCCTGGTCCTGAGCTGCCATCTTGATCCACCTCCGTCATCGGCTACTTTTTCTGGGCTTAGGTAGACAATTGCCCGTACTGATGGTCTCTGTGAGTTCCTGCTCCCTCAAATGGTCCTTCAAGTAGCTCACCCGTACAGTCGGCTTACAAGACTACACACATTGACAGTTCTGCAGCGTTGTCCTGCTTGCGTTCCGCAGCTCAGATGCCTTAGCCCCGGTCCTGAGCTGCCATCTTGATCCACCTCCGTCATCAGCTACTTCTTCTGGGCTTAGGTAGACAATTGCCCATACTGATGGCCTCTGTGAGTTCCAGCTCCTGCAGCTTCCTGGGATATTTGGCAAGGGAATCCCAGGAGGCTCTGGGAGAAGTAAACGTCACTCTTGCCTAGGTAAGAATGGTCAGGGGGACCAGGGAGCTAAAGTCCACTTTAGGTCTTTGGTTTTCACAGGACATTTGTCGCATTGCTTGCTCTTATCTGGCTACGAATGGTCCTTCAAGCAGCCCACCCGTACAGTCGGCTTAAAAAGCAACACACATTGACTGTTCTGCTTACCAATAGTGGCCCACTGGGCGCTCCCATTCGGGTCAGCGAGCCGGGCTTCCTACCCATCTAAAGTTCTAGAATAGGTTGAGGTCGTTTTAGCCCCAAGACCTCTAATCATTCGCTTTACCTGATAAAGCTAATGCCCCGAGCGCCAGCTATCCTGAGGGAAACTGTGGAGGGAACCAGCTGCTAGATGATTCGATTAGTCTTTCGCCCCTATACCCAGGTCAGGTGACCAATTTGCATGCCAGGACTGCTGCGGTTTTGCCCTGCCTAGGCATAGTTCACCATCTTTCAGGTCCTGCCTTGTGCTCATGGTCCACTTCCCCGGAGCATTGACTAGATCAGCCATTCTCAACCAGGGTTCTGTGGAACATTAGGCTTCCTGCAGAGCTTGCTAATGGGTTCCTCGAGCTGTGTCTAATTGACCTCCCATCTGATGGTGCGGCCACAGTCCCAGGCCCAATGCCAACAGCGTGACTACAAGGGTGGCATTTTGACCACTACCAATCTAAGTGGCATTTGCCCAATAACCCCTGATGGACTTATCTTAGTAGGTGTTCCCCAAGACCTGAAAATAATTTCAAGGGTTCCTCTGGGGTTATAAGGTTGGGAAAGCCTGGACTAGGCAGGAACAGAGCATCTTAATCCTTAGGGTTCCTCCAGAGACCCCCCCAACGGACTAATCCTAGTAGGGGTTCCCTGAGACCTGAAAAGGGCTCCTCTGGGGTTATAAGGTTGGGAAAGCCTGGACTAGGCAGGAACAGAGCATCTTAATCCTTAGGGTTCCTCCAGAGACCCCCCCCAACGGACTAATCCTAGTAGGGGTTCCCTGAGACCTGAAAAGGGCTCCTCTGGGGTTAGAAGGTTGGGAAAGCCTGGACTAGGCAGGAACAGAGCATCTTAAACTAGCCATTAGTCTTACAGTATGATTGTACAATCCCCTTCGAGGTTCCTTCACACCTGAACAGTCCATTGTGGTGCGTGTAAAGGCCCAACACCACTTGTAGAGCAAACAGCATGACTGCAAGGGTGGCATTTTGACCACCACCACTACCAATCTAAGTGGCATTTGCTCATCGACCCCCTTCGAGGTTCCTTCATACCTGCACAGTCCATTGTGGTGCGGAAACAGGCCCAACACCACTTGTAGAGCCAACAGCATGACTGCAAGGGTGGCATTTTGACCACCACCACTACCAATCTAAGTGGCATTTGCTCAATGACCCCCTTCAAGGTTCCTTCATACCTGCACAGTCCATTGTGGTGCATTTACAGGCCCAACACCACTTGTAGAGCCAACAACATGACTGC